GGCGGGCCAGAGGGCTAGGATGAGGGAGGTGTGAGCCATACCAGCGCCGACGAGGAGGATTGGTACCCCGCGCGAGGGTCGGATAGGGGCGGGGCGGAATAAGTTAATGCGGAGAAAGATGTTGCAGGTGGTTTGGATGTGGATGAAGAATGCGGGGCAGAAAACGACTGCGCAACCGGCTTTTGCACGTGCACCCACTCGCCGCCCGAGAGCGTCGAGCACACGCGGCGTCTGATTGCGCACGCGCAGCCGATGATGTGTGTGCGCTTCCCGAGGACGCCGCGCGACTCAGCTTGGAGCGTTGCCCGTCCACCCCACCACTGCTCGTCTGTGCGCGCACAGGCGTTGGCGCGCCAGTCACAGGCGTAGGCGTAGAGGGGAGTGGGAATACGAGCTCGGTGGGGACAATCTACCTCAGCGTGCACACTACGCGCGCCATCTTGCGCGTCCGTTGTCTGCACGCTTCGTCTGCGGGGGGCGAAGGAGGAGGCGTCCGATGAGATGCGGGGGCGGTCAAAGGCGAAGGAAGGGGGTTGGAGAAGGGTAGAGAGGAGGAGGCGGACGGGGGGGTCGGCATCCGCAGCTGGCGGGACGCGCAGCGCAAGGAGTGGGCGCATATGCGCCGGAGGGTGAGAGTTGGCGCGGGAGCTCGAAGAGTGGGCGTATGTATCGGGGCCGCAGACGCGGCTTCCATTGCCCTCGAGTGGAATTCCAGCCGGCGTGAAGAGAGCAGAGCAGGATTTGTGTGTGGGTGACACGTTTTGGTGGGTTATAGGGCGGCCCTATGTTGACGATTCCGCGCTCAAGAAGAAAAAACGCATCGCGGGAATTTCTGTACCGCGGATGATTGCCGACGTCATGACGGCAAATTCTCTTTCACTATCTTGCATTCACTCGTTTGCTTTGTTTGCGTCCAACCTGGTAGGTATCAAACAAAAGCAGCCCTAGGTATGATCCAAAGAAATTCAACGGCCCAGTTTGACAGGAAGTAAACGAAATCGAGCTCGCTCCGGCTTTTGGATGCCAATCGGCTGAAAACGACCCGAGGGCCGAAGCCCGCTTCTCGCATTTCTGCCGTCCCCACAAGTTTGCAGGGCGGTCTGACTCGGAACGCCTGCGCGGCTTCCGAGAACCTAGCTTCTGCTCATGCATCTCAGCCCTCAACCTCGCTCACCAAACCTCGGGCACCATTTTTTTGCCTTGTCTTTACTGACGATCTTCTTCTGCTGGTGAAACTCAGCTCAACCGCTGGGCCCCGCGCTCCGAGTAAGTAACTTTAACAGCTGAAAATCTCGCATGGTCAAGATTCGGCGTCCCGTGACGGCGCGACTGCGCGTATCCAAATTTATATTTTGGATTCGAAAGCCGCGCCTTTGGGCTCGCTCTGGGCCTGATGCCACGATGCAACATGGAAGGCACAGCTTGGCCTAATTCTCACTGCGTCCGCGTTTTAATGCGGTGGATTCACCACGTTTGGGGTCGCGCGCCCGAATCCTCGATTCGGATGCCAATCCCCGAGTTTTGTTCTTTCTCTTTGAGTTTAAGCCAGCTCAATTCCTGAACAGATCTCCAGTCCCCAGCCTCCGTGCCTCTGACCTTACCGGAATTTTGACATTCTTTCTTTCCAGATCAAGCGGCACGCGGCACACGGGACACACAGCATATTTCACCGCTAGTATCTGAGGTTTCGGAAGATACTCACAAGCAACAACGACCAGGGCCACCTATGACGCACCACTTGGACCACTCAAGACGTTGGCACCGAGGGTCGCAATCGGCATGCTCGCTCCCATCAAGTATGGCAAGGTCAGCGCAGAAATATTAATCTCTGCTCAATGAATTCCGTCTCACCCGGGTAAATTCCCGTCAGGATTTCTCGTCACCGCGCTCCAATTCGCTGGTCGAACCACCCATATCTCAAGGTACGAGGAATTATTTTATTCCGTGCTCGTGAATCTTTTTTTTTTTCGTACATGTATCTTCCATGTTAATCCGTCTGTCTGTCCTCTCGATTTGACCGCATGTTGTGGGTACTCATGCCTCCCCTCAGGAAAATTTCCGAAATGGCGACAGTTGTTCCAGACGAGCCGATGGGTCGAATCAGACGGTCTCCATATCTCAAAACACAGGAAGAGCTCGACGATTTTGTCCAATGGGCCAAGAACTGCAAGTACAAGGTTGTTAGAGGTAATCTTTGATGCCATTTTTAAATTTTATCGGTACTCAGCCGCTCTTTCAGACTGGATCAAGGACAAGGATTCCATTCCCTGGTTCTTTCCTTCAATTAACGAGTTCTTATCGGATATTCCAAAAGACGACTGGTATCTTACACCTGGTGATACAAAGCTCAACGAGAGCGCACATCCATTCACCAATCAACACACTGGAACAAATCTATCGATTCTTGAGGCAATTCAAGCGTAAGTGAGGTGGCGCCGTTAAAAATATACTGACTTATAATTACCGCGTGGTTAATAGCGCCTACAAGCTTGACCTTGAGGTTGAAGCCAGACTTCGCGCAATTGAGGAAAACTGCGTACTTTTCAACCACCTCAATACAAAGCCCCGCCGAGACCGCAGAAACGATTCACGTCGGACATCCCATTTCAATCAAGCACTCGAACGCCACGACGCCCGGAATAAGCTGGAAGGCCTTGATGATGCAATTCAGAGCTCTACAGTGCTTACTCGGGAGCTTCGCGAGAAGAAGAAGCTGCTTAAGAGCACTAGCGGTGTGAAGAAGACAAAGCAGAAGGGCGAGAAGCAGAAGGATAAGCTTCCTGATGATAACGAATTCGCCGGGATTTCGGACTCGGAGGGCGGCCCTGGCCTCTCTCAGTTCTCCCATGATCATGAACCAGCTCTGTACTTTACAGAGCATGCTGATGCCTCGTCGATCCATGAGGTGCAGCTTGAACCTCCTCTCGAGCCTCTATTCCCTCCCCGACTCGTCGATGATTCGGCCGAGTTCTTCCCATTATTTGGGGATAATTCAAACTAGCTTCCATACTAGGCTCTACGATACAGAGTTTGCAATGATATTATTGGTTTATTCAAACTTTCCGCAACAAATTTACATGGGGGGACGCAAGTTGACCGAGAGCGCGTCAAGTCAGGTGACCGCGGTCCCGGCCGGTGAATCGGCCCGGGGGACGGCGGGGGGTCAAGGCGGAGTGGAAGTGGAAGCGTGACAAGGCCAAGTGGAAGTGGAAGTCTCCAAGTGGAAGTGAGATGCCACTTCCACTTCCACTTCCACTACTTTGGTCATTCCTCTACCCAATGGCTGAAATCCATCAACACATCCATGAGTCGAGATCGGTTCTTGACAAAAAAGATTAGATTTGGAACACTATCGTTCGGCAAAAGATTAGTATTGAACACCTGGAGTGGTCTGCTTTTGAACGAAGAATCACTGCCGGATGATTGGACTTACACAAAGGGGGTTTTAGTGCTCGTGAATCTTGATCGGCTATATGTTCACACTGGACAGTCCCGTTTCAGCCTGTGTCTGTACGAATATTGGTATCGCATGTAGGACCTGGTGCCCCCAAATTAACAAATATCCAACCCGGTCCCGTTATTTACCCGGTTAGCAACGACCAATAATGGTAAACTCACGGCTTGACGTATATGACGCTTTGTCGCACTTCCCAGAGGCGGATGCTGACTTTGTATTTACTTTTGACTCGTATTTGGTTTGTTTCGAGGACCCGGGCGGGTACTATACTACAGGTGAGTATTCGTCGTCTGTATTCTAACCTAATACAGTCGCGCACCGCTACCATAAGGTAAGTCTACCTGAACGTCTGGACGTCTTAGTTCAAAATACCGCAGCCTTAACCCTCTGATACAACGTCCAGCCTTATCTGTCCGCTCTGAACGTGATCCGAATCTCCTCGTTCTCGCTTCAGCCTGAGAGCACCCGCTCCGGACTGCACGCCCTGCCGAGTCCAGATCGGGTTGGATACAGGCACGTGCCAGTGGACTTCACGTCACGCCAGCTGAACTGTGAGAGCGCGAAGTCAGGGCTCGGACTCCCTGCGCAAAGGTCCGGCTCAGCGCCTCTAATTTCCATGTGCATTTTCTTGTGGATATCAGCAACTGAGCGACGAAGTAACGTTTCACGAGGTCAATGGTACGAATATCTTGTGGATGCTCATCAGCCCAGTGTAAAGTTGAGCTCTATTTAATCTTGAGAGTATTTTTCCAGCGTTGATATTTTCATTTGTGTGGGTGTCTAGGCTCGATGCTGCAGCCGAAGAACAGCCAGCACGAGTAATCAACACCGCCTGTGCTGGTACTGACATTCGGACTCGCTCGCCATCCGGTGGATATTTAATTCCTCGGAGTCCAAGCACCGCCCACTGCGCGACTCCGAGTCCATTTGAACACCCTTGCTGCCCCGGTCTCATCCCGAATTTCATCTCCGTTTTATTTATTGTAGTCACTGCGTTCAGGATACATAGCCACAGCACCGCCTATCCAGAGGTGCTGGCTAGATGCCGGCTAGCCGCTGCTAGCCGGTCGAGCCCAAGTGCGGCTAGGGCTGCCCATCGCCTAGCGTCAGCGAGGCGAGGTTCGGCAGAGTTCGGCGGGCGGGCTAGCGAAGGGCTACCCGAGGCTACTCGCAGCACGGCTATTTGAACAACCGTCCACGTTTGTGTTGCGGATGGCGTCGAGGAATCCAGGCACACCTGGATCGGCGTGTATGGCTCAATCGAGATATCGAGATACGTACTTGCACTGCCCACCAGAAAATCAGAAAATGGAGATTGTAGAAATGCAATGGCCTACAAAGGCTCGTTTCCAACGAGTGCAACTTTGGATATATATCAGCCTTCTAGGCCGATTTGCAAATGTTAAAACCATTTCAACCGCGGATCTTTCGCTAATTAACGGTAGTTGCATTGAAGGACGAGGCACGGGCATATGTTTCTCGAGAATGTGGTGAGAATGGCTGTGGTTCCGGAATAAAAAGGGATACGCAGATAATGAAATAATGGCCCGAGCTCGAGTCGAACGAGCGAACTCCTGCATTGATGACGTTTGCGATGTCCAAACATATGCAGCAGGTACGGACCATCCGCTACCGGGCCTTCCAAGGACCCTTCAAAACTTGCAATATGTATATCAGCATTCCACTCGAACTTGGGCGCGATTTCATTCAATCAAAAAAAAAACTGGAAAAGGATGCTATGGCCCGGGCTCGAGTCGAACGAGCGGTGCCTGCAAACCACCATTGATTTCCCTACATAGTGAGTGCAGGTGCGGACCATCCGCTACCGGGCCTTGATTTCGTTGTTGTAAACCTGAATACACGGACATCGAAGTCAGCGATTGATTCCGAGCCAATGACGTTGGCTCGCAGAAACCCAGGACACTCCGCCATCGGCTCAAAGGCTGTGTGAAAATCCAAGAAAAATGTTTGCGATCCACGCACCTTCTATTTGAATTCCCATACGACGATATATCCCCTATATTGTTACTATTACCTAGGTCATCCGGCTACTGATCCTATATGAGGTGGTCACTGTATTGAATCCACTCCGTGCATATTAGTATGCCGCGCATAATAATATGGCTTCGTCGTGAGCGATATTGATTTCCACCGAGTCCGCTAGCAGTCCAGTATCGTTGGCCACGGAGCGAACTCGCACAGTCATAACCTGACCATGGGAACCTAAATTTGAGGATAGATATGGAGATAACGCCGGTCCAAGATAATTGACCCTGAATATCAATAAGGGAATCGAATTGAGCGTGAACATAACATTCGTGCCCCACGCATGTCTTGAATAGGGTATCAGTAGCGACGGTATAGTGTAGCTGAGGGCATTCCTGCTATTGCGAGACTTGTGAGGCGACCGGAGAGGTTATGGGGAAGGGCACCAGGCATCGAAAATAGGAGACTACAGTATGCGAATTGCGCTCCAGATTACCTCCGAAGCTGGATTTAAATGACGGATGGAATGGCAGGTCACGGTGAAGGAAGGTGCAGCAGCAAGAGATCTTTGCTGATAGAAGAGATCTCCGTGTCGATGTCCCCTGATTCCACACGGCGAGCACCGGAAGTCGACACGGAACGGAATTGTCGATTGCAAGATGCGCCACGAGATAGCCGGTTTCCTAGCGACAAAGCACTCCCAGCGTCCGCAAACTCGATCCAGTGCATTGGGAATAAGAGTTGTGCTCTAGTTCTTGAATCATAATCCCGAACGATTGCATGCATGCGGCGATGCGCGCCGAAACAGCAAGTCGATGTTTTCTGGATTTCCAGAAATTGCAGGGGTTTACGTTTGTCGCTGAATATTAGTCCCCAAATAGCAAGAACTCACTAACGCGGGACACAATCCCCATTTGACACCGCAAAAATACAAACACGCATCTGCCGGGAACCACGCATCAGCTCTTCGGGCTTGAAAGTTGAAGGGCGAACGCACAGACGCACCTATCTATGTACACGTTAATATTAATATTGATCTGCCGGCGTTGCGCGCCGACAATTAAACCGACGTTCCGTTCCGACAAATAAACCGTACAACCCACTACGTCGGAAAATGGCACAGCCTGACCACTACCAGTGTGCGATGCCACTCCGATCTACGCTGCTGTGTGCTGTGCTCGTCCGTCGCCCCAATCGAGAGCAGGTGCTCGCAGCGCGCCCGTCCCGATCGCGGACTTCCGTGTCGTCGCCTGTGGTGCATTGTGAGCGCGTGGATGCTGTGGTTAGGATCACCAACAAGCGCGCGCGGGAGTGGGTGAGCACCGTCCTAGGCGTCAGCTGGGGGAAAGAGATGTACGATGGGGGGATGGGACGGAAGTTTGAAGTAAATACCGCGCGCGTTGTAGCCGTGGCCGTCGTACATTGTGCGTCGGCGTCGAGAACGAAGGATGACTGGGCGCTGGTCATGATCGGGGGGGTCATCCTGGCAAGGGCAGAGTGCGCAGATCATTGGCCGCGGCTGGGCGGAGTCGTGGTCCTGGTCGTGCCCGTCGTCGTACAGCGTAATTGCAGGAGGGAAGAGCGGAGGAGCGGGCCTCATGCCCGTTGACATCGGAGGGGGAATCGGAGTCATAGGAGCAATGTCGCAATGCGGAGATCTTACGCGTCTTCGTCGTAGTCCCCGAAGGCACGAGCGTCGGAGGCGGAGGAACAGCGCGCGCGCCTGAGTGCAAGTGGGAAGAGCGAGAGAGCGAAGAAGCAAATTGAAAGGAAGGTTAGGGTTGGCCCACGTCACGGTGTACCGGCTCCCGGTCCGCATTTCCGCACCTCTTTTTCTATCTCTTGCGTCCATCATGACCCGTCCTTCGTCTTACTGGAATTCCGCATGCGCTTTGCCGCTCGCCACGGTGTAAAGCAGTTTCTGCATAACGCGATCTCTATTGCTGCGGCGACCACCCTCGTCGTCTTTCCAGTCCGGTACTTAGTGTATCCTAACTTAATCGAGTTCACAGGGATGGAAATGAGGCCCGGTAGCGGTTGGACCGCACCTGCATGATATAGGTTTTCCTTGATTGACATTAATGCAGGCTCCGCTCGTTCGATTCGAGCCCGGGCCATGGGTACGTCGCGACACGTCTTTTTTCTAGTCATCCCACGGTGCCTTCCCTCACACATTTGAAGCTTTATAGGTAGAAATGAAGGCCTGGTAGCGCGCTCGACTAGGTGGACCGCGATGTCAACCTCTTTGTGCCTAGCTAGGCCATCGCTCTTCCTCTCCGTCTTTTATAGGACGCGCAGTAATGGTGAGGGCAATTTAAATGCTACTTTATTCGAGCTTTTGGCTAAGAAATTCAGGTTCGGTAGCGAATGTTTCCGCACCCGCAATGAGTGCGGGATTGTTCGCTCGCAGGAATTGCTCGTTCGGTCAGAGCCCAGGCAATGAGTACGTCCGACACACCTTTTTCATCCCATTCATTGGGAACTTCGCTGATGTGTTGAAGCTTTATAGGTACAAATGAAGGCCCGGTAGCGGATGATTTCGCACCTGCACTCGATATATGTGCGTGAAAGTTTCCGCAGGATCGCTCGTTCGATTCGAGCCCGGGCCATAAGTGTTTAGTGAACTTTTTTTTTTATACCGTTCATTGGTGACTTCGCTGACGTATTTAAGTTTGATAGGTAGGTAATGAAGGCCTGGTCGCGCATGGTTCCGCACCTGCCGGCTGACACCGCATTTGTCCGCGGGACGCCGCTCGTCCGATTCGAGCCCAGGCCAACGCTCTTTTTTATCGGGAAAGTGAGGTCGATTTCAATGCTGATCTATTCAACCTCGCAACTACGAACTCAAAGCCCGATAGCGGATGGTTCCGCACCTGCACTCGATATAATAGCATGAAAATTCCCGAGGATCGCTCGTTCGATTCGAGCCCGGGCCATGAATCTTTAGTGCTGTCTTTTTTTTTGGTACGATTCACGGGTGAGTTATCTCAACTCATATTTAGGTTCCCAGGTACCAGATAAACCGCCCGGCAGGTATCTGTGGCTTCCCTGATGCAGGTGCATAGTGCTCACATGGACAATAACAGGAAAATCCGACAACAGATCTCGTGAGGTACGCCTCAATCACCCTTTCGCTGCGTATCGAGTTGAATTCTCGTTTGTTCGGGCTCACCACGACGAAATGAAGGCCCGGTAGCGCCATATTGAGGAGGATATTGTACTCTGTAATCAGTTTCTCCTGTAGCAATCAACGATCGTTTCAAGTTCTTTCATCTGGACGGACTAAGTAATAGCGCTGGGTTGTTGCCAGGCAAGGTGATGTCTTCGCCAAGCCTGTAGCAGCAGGACGGAAGCTCGACTTCTCGTGTCCGCTTTTAGCATTCTGGTCATGCAGTTATCATTATTCCGACGTATTTTCCCGTATTTCCTTCTCACAGACAAGGATCATTATTAACTTTCGCGTATCGCGAGTATTCTCGAGATAGCTGCTTTCTGATTAACAGATGCTCATTTTTCGGTGTCCTTTAGTTAACTTCGTTTCAAAATCTTCCACTCGGACGTGGTGCGTGGTGCACAGCTGCTCCCAATTGTTGAGATGACCCGCATCATTGTGCAACAGCAAGACGAGGTTTGATTCCCCGCGTCCGCAAATCTCGATTTCCTTTTTGCCTCAACGCAGGATGCAATCATCTCAGTGAGACGAAGGGATCAAATTGGGGTTGGTCGGTATGTAATGACTTTCTCTCTTTGTCTGTGTTGATGGACCATAATCTTGCCCACGAAAACCAGTTCTTAAATTGCCAGGGTTCTTCGATCATTAATTGTAATCCAAATCATCCTCACAAACTCCATCTCAATTTAACGCAACACCCTCCGATATCCCGACAAACTTCGTAGGTTCAATTGGCAATCCTGTTCTGATTTACACGTAATAGTGAGATCCGTGTCTCAGTGATCGCCGGGGTCGTAGTTGGCGCTGGGGCGGACGACGGAATTCTGGATCGAGTTCCCGCCAGCGCCGACTCCGCCGTCGGGGAGCTCGACGGTCGCTGAAATCGTGGGTGAGCATTCAGCATGAAGGCAGAGAGTGTGTACACGGGTACCTGGACCACTGGTGGCTGAGACGAATGCTGCGAGAGCGAGGAAAGAAGCAAGCTTGAGGATGGAACTGGTGAACTGCATCGCTGGTTTGGATATTGAACGCCCAGAGACAACACAGACAGCTTTTATATATTTGCGCACGGTAAACAATATAGAACTCCCCTCCATAAGCATGGATGGCATGTTGGAATATCCGTAAGGATCCGGGTAAGTAATATTTATGCACCCTTCACTGGGCGCACGAATACGCCGTTATGCAGGACACGTCCTGCGGGAACGGCGACGTTCTCTGATGGGAACGAGGAAAGATGCCAATTTGGAAGTGCAACCACATGGTAAATGGAGACACACCGAAATAACTTGAAGTTGTGGGCATAAATGTGGAACTACTTGAGGTAGCGGTAGGAAGCCGTCGCCGAGCAACGGCGGTCAGAGCATGGACGGTCTGTTGGAATATCCGTAAGGCACCGGGTAAGTACTATTTATGCACGCTGCATTGGGCGCTCGACCCGTGATTTTAGTTGCGGGACCCGCAATCAGGACACTCAACAGTGGTCGGTGATGGTAGGGAAATCGCGAATGAGCAATGGTATTAAAATTCAGGTCCGACAAATATCACCTATCCGCCAGCGCTCTATCACCTCCTGACTGTACGGGAGATAATTCAGAGCCATCGAACGTTCAAACTTGCGCCGGGTTTATTGAATTAGGGCGAAGCATGTCGGGTCTGACAGGAGTCCCGCAG